GCAGACTTCCTGAAGCCAGTTTTGATCATCAACTTAATTGGACTGAGAAGTGTCTGAGAAGGACTAGTACAGCACAAGCCTGCCTAGGGGACATATTTCCAGGCAGATTCAGTAAGAAGAGGAAACTCATCCTGGCTGTGAGCAGGGCAGTCCAATAGATCCCAATAGATCGGGATCCTACATGGAAGAAAAAAAAAAGGGTAAAGGAGAGTGTTCCTTCCCTTAAGTTGTTTCTCTTCTGTGTTTGGTTACAGCACCTAGAAGTTCTGACTAACAGGAAATTGTTTGCAGGTGAGTAGTGTCATTCAAAAGTATTTGAACCAGTTTGCAGGGAGGAATTTGAAAAACTAATTTTATGACGTGTGCTAGAAGTCTGAGCATGCATAAGCAGAGGTTCATAATAGGTAATCTTGGTGGAAAACTCATCAGGTGAGAATGTCACTAGCAAAACTGATTGTACATGAGGCTTTATGCTACACTGTGGTAAATGGCTTTCTGACACTCTGGGAGAGGCTAAGTCACAAGATGACATATTCATTTGGTAATTTCAGAACAACCTAGCATTCACACTGTGGCACAGATATTGCTGGCTGTTTTTAGCCAAGTATACAGTGAAAATTTGAATTGAAAAAACAGAACAGAAGGATTTTGAGGGAGGAAAGTGATTTTTTTTCCTACAAAAGAAGAATGTTTAAAGCTGGATCCCAGGAAAAGGTGGTTGTAAAGAGATGGAGACTGTTTAAAGAATTTAGGTACACTGGGACCATGGGAATGATGCTTTAAAGGCATCTCAAGATTTAGCTCTTTTTTTTTTTTTTGGAAAGACTTTCCTCTCAGAAGGGAGCATTTCTGAGGTGTCTAGATTACTCAGGGATGTCTAGGGGATGAATTCACCAGTATTTGTTCATCAAACTCAGCCATGAGGCATACAGAGGCAAATGCCACTGCAGTCCAGAGGTTCCTTGGCTACCACTTGAAAATGGTGGCCAACATGAACATAACTCTTATGACGCTAATTTTGCAAGTGTAGAGAAGAACTATAGTTATAGGGTCATAGAGTCAAGGCCTGAGATGTAAAAGGAAGGTCTGGGAAGGCAGGAAATGTCAAATGAGTCAGATTCCCTGCAAACAACCTTGAGAAGTGAAGCATTAAACTTTTGATGTCCAAGCAGGGATAGAGTCCAAGGTTTTGGGGGTGCCAGAAAAGAAAATATATGCTTTCTGCGAGTGTCTGTGATTGATATGAGTGTGTGTGTGTGCGCGTGTGCGTGTGTGTAGGTGTAGGTGTGCATGCATATGTGTGTGTGTACATGGATGTGGAGACCTGAGGTTGCTGTTGGGAGTCTTCCTCAATTACTTTCCACCTTGTGCGTTGAGGCAAGCTCTCTTGATTGATCCCAAAGCTCACCCATATATTTAGTCTAGCTGGCCAGTTTGTTCTGTGGCATCCCCAGCCTCCACCTCCTGAGTGCTGAAATCAAAGGCACACTCCCAATTCAGCAGTTCTGTTAGTACTGTGCTTCAGAACCTGAGTCCTCACATTTGTGCTTTCCCACTGAGCCATCACTCCCATCCCCTCTAAATGAATACAGTCTCTCTTCTCTCTCCCTCCTCTTCCCCTCCCCCTCTCTTCCCAGGGTCTCTGTGTAGAATTGGGTGACCTCAAACTACACTCTTGCTGTTCCAGACTCGAAGGTGTGGAGACTGCCTGCATGCAGGTTGTTAGTGTTTTATTTACTAGCTTTTGTGCTTTCATGGCGTAGTTGAGACTTGTGACAGAATCCACTTTAACATATTTGTCATGAATCTGAAAATATTTACTATGTCCATTTAGGAACAGTTTGCTGACCCTTGGTGTATAACATCAAGATGAAATGTCCTTTTGAATTTGGATAGTATTTTTTCTGCTGTTTTATAGTTCCTTTGCCAAGACGTGATTCAACAGTAATATTTTAAGTATCACAGCTTCATTATGTTCCTAAAGGAATTGAAATTGACTTTCATATAAAATACTCCTCTTCACGCTTCTATTTCAAAGGTTCAAAAATATTTATCTGAATTGCATAATCAAAATCACGTACAATTCAGATAGGCAGAACGGTACTTGATAACGAATCCTGATGAACATACCACTCAGCTCTGGGAACAGAAGGGTTCTGGGTCACCATGCTTTGGGAACCCAGTAGGCATCACAGACTGGCTGGCTCATCATGCCTTGGGCACCCAGTAAGCATCACAAGTGGGGACTGGTTCACCATGTTTTGGGCACACAGTAGGTATCACAGATGGGTAGTGGGTCATCATGCTTTGAGAACAGAAGGCATCAGCAATCTGTTAGAGAGAAAACAGGGTTTAGGTATCTGTGGCAGCTGGCAGCTGAGCTTAGTGGCTGTTGTTGAAGAGATTTGTTGTTGAATTTGTAGTTGAGTTGCTTCAGATTCTGGGTTCTGTCTCATCCACTAAATAAATCCTTAGGGGTGGGCATCGACTTCCCATTTCTTTCATATATTTCTTCCAAGGATGGGGTACCAGGTTGAACACATGACAAAAGTGTTCCATAAACTTCTCTTTTCAGAGGGGAAGATGATGCTTCAACAAGTCAGAGGTGACAATTCCTGAGGCTCCAGCCGTACAGAAGAGTTTCCTCAGCCCTACACTCCAGTCTCAGTCTGTTTTGGTTTGAAATGTCTTTTTGTTGCTGCTGCTGCATACTCCCAAATGGTACATCAGCTTTCATGATTTGTTTTTCTGTTTTCTTATCTACTGCTTTAATGTTAGACTTTTTGCCTAGGCAGCAAAATTCAAAAGACCCTTTCAGAGGCTGAAAGGGTCAAAGGCCTCACAGCACATAACACAGTGTGAGGGGGGATGGCAAATACTAGTATTTTTAAGACCAAGATGAGATTGTGAACAGATTGGGCTCCATTTTTGATGAGCCACAAGTGCCTGCAGCAGACTGGTTTAAAGATGTCATTAGTATTGCTAACAGGACCAGCCGGGCAGTGGTGGCGCATGCCTTTAATCCCAGCACTTGGGAGGCAGAGGCAGGCGGGTTTCTGAGTTTGAGGCCAGCCTGGTCTACAGAGTGAGTTCCAGGACAGCCAGGACTACACAGAGAAACCCTGTCTCAAAAAAACAAAAATAAAAGATAAAAAATAAAGATAACAGGACCAGCAAATGTTCAATGGGTATGGTGGTCTGAATATGCTTTGCCCATGGATCATAGCCCTGTCAGGAGATCTGGCCCTGTTGGAGTAGGCGTGGCCTTGTTGGAGGAAGTGTATCACTTTGAGGACTGCCTTTGAGTCTCCTATGCTCCATCTATGTCCAGACAGAGTCAATCTCCTCCTGCTGCCTTCTGGTCAAGATATCAACTCTCAGCTCCTTCTCCAGCATCATATCTGCCTGCATGCTGCCATGCCTCTCACCATGATGACAATGGACTAAATCTCTGAAACTGTAAGCCAGCCCTAATTAAGTGTTGTTGTTGTTGTTGTTGTTTTAATAAGAGTTACCTTGGTCGTGGTGTCTCTTCACAGCAATAAAACCCTAACTAAGACAATGGGTAAAGGTGCTTTAGCTGTCGAGTCTGAAGATTTGAGTTCAATCCCTGGGACCCATATGGCAGAATGAGAGAAGAGCCGTCCAGCAGTCCTCTGGCCACCACGTGAGCATCATGACACATACCCCTGCCCTCATCCATTCTCCAATAGACTGCCATAAGTAGTTCTCTAAAACCCTACATGCACATGTCCACCCACACTCCCCACTCCACATGCTTACACACACACACACACACACACACACAGAGAGAGAGAGAGAGAGAGAGAGAGAGAGAGAGAGAGAGAGAGAGAGAGAACATTGGAAAAATGCTCAATGCACAGACATATGCAGCATTCCCTCAAGCTTAAGCTTAGTAAAACACTGACAATGCAAGGAGCTGTCTTCTGCAGTCCATTGTTGCACATAACCTGTACGGTTCTCACTTTGTTTTCATTTGTTAGCTGCCTCAAAGTTGCACAGTTTAGTCTAAGTTACCTTGTTATTCTAAGAAGAAGATGTTAGGGGGCTGGAAATTAACCTAGCATTTGGGAACATTTCTGGGCATAATTACCATCACACGTTGAGGATGTGTGACCTGGTTCAGGAAGACATGGCAGGAAGCACTTTGCTTATTAATCATCTTCTTTGCCTTATAATTGTAGTAAAAGTCCCTCTTAAGGAAAAGACTTGCTTGGTCAAAGCTGGATGAAATTCCATCTGGTCTACCTATACTATTAGGGCACTGCAGAGATACTAAGTGGCTCTGTGGTTTGGGTTACATGGTGTCACTTCATCAGTTGACATTCCTATATAATTGGCACTTTGGTTCCATGCTCTTCTCGGATATGGCAGTGTTTACTTGATTATGTTTAAATCTTTATGCCTCCGTCTGCATCTATTTTATCCATCTGTTCTGAATGAGATTTTTTCTTATTCCTTGGGCTCAAATTTAAAAAAAAAGACTCAGAGCTGAGCATAGAGGTGCACACCTTTAATGACAGTATTACTCAAGAGACAAAGGCAAGCTGGTCTTTGTGAGTTCTGGGCTAACCTGGTCTCCGTAGAGCATTCCAGGATAGCCAGGGCTATATAGAGAGACCCTTTGTCAAAAACCTGAAAGTCCAGAACCAAAATCAACCACCCTAACTCTTGACCATCATAAATCTTTGTGTTTTATATTTAAAAAATCTTTAAAATAGAATAATTATACATATGTTTAGCAAGTTGTGCACACATTTTGAACATAACTGGAATGTTGGCGCATATTCCTTAGCAAGGAATATGGTTCATAGCCTAAATTTGTTTTAGTTTCCAGCTGAAACTTTATCTCTAACAAGCAGAAAGGGGTTTGGTTGTCCCACCCTGCCACACACCTCTGCAAATGAAACCTTATTTTCATTGTTTTCCCGATTTGGCATCTGGGGAGTTGAAGGATACACCACCTAAAACAACACGTTCTGGGAGGAGTTCCCAGTGAAAGAGGGTGGAGCCCAAGGCGGAGAAAGTGGCTCCCTGAGGGAATAAACCAAGTCTGAGTGAAGGGCTTGATGTTTGGGAGTCCCATCTGCCTGTTGCATGGCTTGTTGGGTAGTTCTGGTCCCACAGAGCACACAGCCATGCTAGCAAGGCCAATCCCGTGAATGAAGAGAAAGGCAACAAAGATCCCAGTGAACAAGACCCCCAACCTAGGTGGAAAAAGACAGTGCAACTGCGCAGGCTTGTTCCATAGTTCTTTCCAAATCTATAAACCTAGTAAGTCTCTCACTTTTCCAGAGAACAGACAGTGTGAGAAAATGGGCCAGGAGAAATACAGGACCTGCTCACAGAAAAATCACCAGAAGCAAGGGAAATAGGATTACTCAAAGTGTACAGTCATAACAACTACTAGCTGTGTTCTCCAGAAATGCATTGGTTTTTTTTTCCAAATTAAAAGAGGAAAATGCCAAGATATGTCATACAAAGTGATTTTATGTAACTTTTCAAGTAGATTTGCCTATAACAAAAGCTACCTGTGGTTTTACATCTGCAGATGCTCTTTGCAAAGAGGTGTGTGCATGTGTTTAACATTTACCTCCAGGATTGCTATGTTAATATTACTGTTGCGTACTCTGACATTTTAGCTTTAACATTTATATTTGGAGGAATTAAAGGAAAAAAAAAAGCACTTCCAAAAATGTATAACTCGTTTCTGTAATCTGAATCCCTGTTAATTGTTTGAGAAGAAACTTTAGAAGCAACTGTATTAGTTATTTGTGAGTGAAAAAAAAAAGAAAAAGAAAAGAAAAGGACATGACTTCTAGGTATGGTGGAGGAGAAAGCTTATTTTAGATAAAAGGGAGAGCATAGCCAGAGGCAGAGACATCTGGGAGACTCCAGAGTAGACAAGATCACACTAAGTTGGGCCCTGTGAAGAGAGAGGGGAGGGGAGCTGCCGACCAAGAGAGGCAGCCTGGGCCAAGAGACTGACCAGGAGAGTGGCTGAATAATACAGGGAACAGCCCAGTGCCTAGGTTGGAGAAGTTTAGGGTAAGGGGGTGGGGTATGCCAGGTAGAGACTGAGGGATGCCTGTAGAACCTGGGGGCCATGTTGGCTTTGATGTGTTAAATAGGCTTCTCAGCCATTTGTTTGAGACTTCGCAATTTGTCTTGTTGTGATAGAATACCCAGACAAAAGCAATTTAAGGAAAGATGCCTTTTGTCTCACAGTTTCAGAGTGTAGTCTGTCTTGAAAGGAAGCCATGGCAACAGGAGCATGCAGCAGCTGTTCACAGTGCAGGTACACCCAGGAAGCTTGCTGGGAGAAGGATGCTTGCTTTTTTGTTGTATGTAGTGTGGGACCTCAGCCTATGGAATGCTGTTACCCATATACAGGGTGAGGCTTCCCAACTCGATAAAATAATTCAACTTAGGTAATCTCCCACAGGCATGTGCTGAGGCTTGTCTACTGGATGATTCTATATCCGGTCAAGTTGACCATCGATGTTAATTTAACCTTCACTATAGCTTTGGAGTCTACTGAGCCGTTTGAGAATTAAAATCCGGTTCATAGGAACTGCTTCTCTGGACATCCAAACCGATAAGAAATATAGAATGTAATTGTATAGAAATAGAAATGTAACTAAAGACCTATAAACTAAATACTAACTGCAAGATGAGAGTAAAGAAGCTCTGTTCTCTAGTACAGTTTGACTTACATGACAGTAGATAGCAATTATACAAATGGGCATTTTATTTCGGCGTGAGGGTGGACGTTCTAAGGGAAAGAGCTATCCAGACTGATGTATACTATTGTGGTTAAACAGAAGCCATACAAGTGCTTGGTGATAGCACCTAAGGGGAACATATTCACGCTTGGGTTATATTGAGTGACTGCCATGTCTCTTCCAAGTCTAATACTCTGTAAGAACTGGATCTCTTAATGAAGTAAACCTTTTGAAAATGTTTCATTTGTCTTCTTAGTTAATAGAATAAACTAACTATACAGAATGGGTCTGCTTCTGATAGAAAGAAACAAAGAACCATTAGGATGCATTAGACAGAGAGGGGAACACTTGGAATATGCTATTACAAAATAAAGTACTTGACAACTATCTCTTTTCTATACATATTTCTAGAAGATCCTTGCATGCATTTCGAATATCATGTTAGTATTCCTTTGCTAGTTGCTCTTTAAACAGTACGACATATGGTTCAAATTTAATTGGGAAAAGGATTTGACTGATTCTAAAACTTATTGAAAGAAACCTGTGAACAAAAGTTGTTCCAAGAATAGACTCTACTATTAATAAAGACAGGTAGTTATGAGTGTTGTGTTTTATAAAAAAGAAAGAAAAAAAGCCAAGGATAAGTTTGGTAGAGGCTCAGTGTGATGCAGGAGAAGGAGGATGTCTCTGCAGGCCCTTGCTGAGGCATCCCTTCCTCCTGAGATACCAGCCATAAGATGGATATGGTATGAAATAGAGTTTATTTAGGGCATGGGGAGGAGAGTTGGGAAGGGAAGAGAGAGAGAGAGAGAGAGAGAGAGAGAGAGAGAGAG